TGTCAACTCGCATGGTGGGTCTTTCTGTATTATTTTCTAATTTAAAAAAAAAAAGCTAATCCTCCAGTGGCTGACAGGGGCAAATGATGTGCATATACACAAATGAGCTACATGAATGCGCTGCATAAACAGAAACGCGCTGCAAAAGGAGAACACTGCATATACAGTCACACAACGGAAGTGCAACAGGCCTCTGGGGGCAGTTTTTAATGCCTTTAGCTTTTCAGTCACTGTGATTATATGGGTGCTGAAGTGGTGTTTTACTACTGTCTTGCTGTGTTCTCTCTGTTATTTATGTTTATTCATGGAGAATAGATACCTCTTCATACAGCTTTCCCCTCAACTTGTCTCGCTCACTATTGTCTGCCTCTCAGGTGAAAAGCTCACTACTGCCCCTAGAGGCCTGTGGAACTTCTGCTGTGTGCCTGGATATGCAGTGTTCTCTTTTTGCATTTGTTTGTATTTATGCAGCGGGTCTGTATATGCAGTGTTCTCCTTTTGCAGCGCGTTTCTGTTTGTGCAACGCATTCACGTATGTGCAGCTCGTTTGTGTATATGCACATCATTTACCCCGTCGGCCACCGTGTAATTCACTTAAATAAAGTACAATTACCTTAAAAACTGTGCTTAAGTGAAGTAGTTGCGTAAATGCACTTCTGGTAATGTTGCATTTTGAGAGACAGGGCGTTGTGTTGCCACTCCACCTATGCATAAAGCTAAAGTCTCAGCATGAATTGTAAACCAAGCAGCATGCTGATGCAATTTTATTCATTTCTAATCAACAGATTAACACAATGAAAGTGCAAACAGTGAAGGTCTCTGAATGCATTCTGAATCCTGTGTATCACAGAATACATTTTCTCTTATTTATATTCTTTGTTTTTAAATATCTTCTTTGTTTGCCTCACAGAGAAGCTCTGACTCCTCTCCTCCCACACAGTGCTCTCTCCACAGCATCAGCCCTCCCTCCATGTTTGCTCTGCTCACCTCTTCTGGCTGCCATGCATGGACAGCCTGCCAGTGCTACTGTACACTGTAGGTCAAAAGATAGATTTATGTGAGTTAGGATAACAGGATTTCTGCATGTGTTTTAGAAGTGCAGCATGAGCAATGCTCTTTTCTGGGTGTGCGTGGAGAGGAAGACAGCGGTGCTAGCCTATACCAGCCCCTACAGATCGCTGCCTTGTGCATTGTGCCTTCAGTTTGCTGTCTGTCATCACACCAACAATGGTTAACTGTGTGACCCCTTTTGTCTCAAGGCAATAGCCCATGCGTGTGTGCAGACAGATAAGAGGCGTGACTGACTTACATACACACACACACACACACAAATGAAACACAATGCGTGGCTTTTTTCTGAGGTTTTTCTTTAAGGCGATGTGAGAAATGAGTCTCAAAGGCTTTGGTAACATTTCACAAACATGAATGAACTTCATTTGCCACTTTCGTTTTTTCTTTGTACCTTCATAGCGTCAGATCAATTTCTCCAACAGAAGGGAGGTTTTTGCTTTTGAAAGTGAATGTTTAAACACTTATGGAGACAAATGAGATGTCATAGTAACAATGCAGCAGTGTTAGCGGCGTACCATCGATTCACCTAATTCAGTGACAAAGGATTAAGTCTATTGACAACCCAGTTGAAACTTTTGCATTGACACCCTATGACTGGCCATGTTGATGTAGTGGATTGAATTTCACTGATTATTCTGCCTGTGCTTTGTGAGGAGTGATTATGACTCACTATCTGAACCAAAAATACATCTGATAGATGAAAGTGCTGAGACTACAAACTGTGCTGCCTGGTTAAAGTATGCATGATTTTGAACATAAATAGAGTATTGATACAGCGGCAAACTATATATATATATTATAAAAAGATATAGTGGGGAACTGATGTCCTTAGCAGAGAATAAATTGCACAAACTCTGAGTGTGCTGTAAATCAAGACTCTCAGTTTTAACTTTTGGTAGCCTATTCAGCATGTTAGTGCAAATGAGTCCTTTCCTTTGAAACTATTGGCCCTCCCTGAGAATGACCTTCCACATCGTATTGGAAAAGTATAAATATAGTCCAGATCATTCAGATAGTACCCCAAATAACAAGAAATGTAAATACGAAATCTTTTATTTATGTTATTTATGTGCCCTGGTTCAGTTTCAGCTCAGTGTTAGAGCATCTGTTGCTGTTACGCTGCTCTCCTCTGCTTCTCCTTTGCCCCACTATGTTTGTCCTCTTCTGCCTGTTTGTGTCGGTGTGCCTCCCAATGTGTGGAAACGGAGACACATGGAGCGGAGCGAAGGAGGTAGGTGAAGATACTTTTAAACAAGTTGACAACAATTCGTCACAGCAATTCAGTGTATTTTTCAATGGGCTTATGGTTGCAGATGGATTTTTTTTGTTGTCTCTCGAGTACACAACCATGTAAATGAAATGTAAAGGGAGGGCGGACGTGTAGCCTGTCTGATCTGGTCTGAGATTCTACCTTTAAAACGCAATTTTAAGAACATAGAATTATGTTTAGAGAAGTGCAATCAAGAGACAGTTTGGATTTAACTCTGATTGAAGCCCTCCAATGCTTTTTCTGCACATATACTCATATATGGCATTTTTCTATATGCTAGAAGACATATGAGCAAAATAAGCAGGCAACAACATGGCTGAGTATTCCCACCTTCAAGCTGCAGTGTACCAATAACTATTTAAAAAACAGATTCAGAAAACTAGGGTTTCATACAAAACAAACCTTAAGATCCAATCCTACCAGCTTTTGTAATAGGACTCTCCTGTTATTAATCTTCTTCAGAGTTGGTTCATAGTTCAAACACGTATAGCTGAATTACTCAAGTAAAGTACGATTATCTCAAAATTGTACCTAAATACAGTAGCTAACTACTTTAAAATGTTACTTTCCACCACTGTAGCTAGCTCACTACTGTATTAAACAACATGCTAACTAGCTTGAAACATTTATTATTGGAGAAAGCCTTTTGAAACATTTTGGAAATGCATCATGTGCTGTCTTTACATCCTGACTTTTTTACTGCCTGCTTGTGCTCTGTGCATCTGTGACTCATTGGAAAAACCTAAAACGTATAATAACATGTCGATCCACCGCTCTGTAATGGAAAATAGATGGTATCTGTTATGGATCTCCGCATTAAAATAGACTTTGGCTGCTGATTAGTTCCAGCAGCCATATGTCTGATTAGGTAACCAGAGAGATGCTTGTTAGTTCACCTGTTGGCGTCGGGAAGGTGGCGTAGTACGGGTTTATCAGAACTTTAATGATGCAACTGGCTGCCAACAGGGGCTGATGAGAACAGTGAGACGAAACCATACAGTAAAGACAATAAAGTCAAACAGCTCTGCAGAGCTTGGTGGTCATTCTTCATCGCTGCCACACTATGAGTGACCAGTTTACTTTACACAGAGGAATTTGATGCAGTGATGATATCAAAAATACTGATTAACACTGGTATAAGAACAACAAAGCAATGCAAGATTCACAGTTAAGACAATACTGTGTTGATGCCCAAAAAAAGACATTAAAAAAAAACAAAAAACCACTATCCATACATTCTGAAGTGCTGTGATATAATTCTCCAACAATCATGTGTGTCATGTGTACAGGCAGCCTAACGTTACAGTGAAGTCTTGAGAGTCTGTCACAAACACTATAGTACTACTGCATGAAGTATGTTAAATCATTAATTAATCGATGACGAAGCTGCTTTAGCATCATCGAACCAGTCAAAGAATCCCTTAAATTCATCAGCTTAATATGTTCATATCTTTTTAGTAAACATGGACGGACTGCGGCTGGGACATTCTTACATATTTACGTTGCCCCGTCTGCAGTCGTTCTGTATCTTGTCGTTTACACTGTAGCCATTCAGCCGCAGCTCATATCACCAACAATCGCTTACAATCAGAGCAGGTAGTGGTCAGATGTGTGGTCCAAGGTCACTTTCACAGGATAGATCGTAGATGTGAATAACAGGTACATTATCTTAAATGTGCTGCCCTTCAAAAAAATAAAAATAATGTCACCTTTATAAGACAAGACAAGTTTTGGTTTGTTGTAGGCTTACAGTTCTCATAATTTTTAACTTTACAGATACACCGATCAGCCACAGCATTAAAACTACTGACAGGGGTAGCCAGTTACATTGAATGCAATGTTCTTGGGGTTGTGGTATCCATGTTGATGTTAGTTTAACATGTGCCACTCACCTAAATATTAGATGGCTTTCCACTGCAGGAAACTGTGACAAGGGGGTGATAACATTTAACCCCATAGCTGGTGTTTCAGCCTTTCTGTTTCCATTGCCAAACAGAAACAATGACAGACAGTAGTTACTGGATATAACTCCAGTCCTATGAGTACGTAGGAAATAGAACAACAAAGAGTTTGTTATGTCAGCTCAAATGGGGAATTTTATATTCTTGCTATTTGACAAGGTCAGCAAGGTTCGGCCCACTGTAACATGGCCTGCAAGCTTCTGCAGTGGACAACAGCTTATTGATGCAGACCATGTGCACCATCCCAATGGTAATGGCCCTTTACAATGCAGCAGCCTCCCCCAGGCTGACTATGCACTTGGCCACACTGCAAAAACTGCTCATGAACAGCTCAAAGAACACAACAAAGAGCCCAAGATGTTGACCCGAACTCCGAATTCCCCAGGTCCCCATCTGATCGAGCATCCACAGGATGCGCCGAAACAAGCCAAATCCATGGAGGCCTCTCGCTGCAACCCACAGGAAGGTAAAGGATTCAGTGCCAACATAGGGTCTGTGTCCATAGCAAATATTAGGCAGGTGGTTTAATGTTGTGACTGATCAGCGTAGACGTATGGGCTTTGCTCCCACTACAGCTTAATTGCACTGAGTTGCAGACTGCTGAACTTATATGAGATAAAAGCTGTGCTTATCATTTATCTAAACTGCCCCACTTATCTGTGTTCTCCATGCTTTTGTGTTGGTACCTTGTATACAAACACTACTTCAGGCAAACTGCCACCACAATTTTGGCGTTGGTCCTATGTGAATGGAGTAAGATGTATTAAACTTTAAATGCTGAACACATGTAGAAATAATAGGAATTTAGATTCTTTAAGCTGCATTGTGAGCATTGCCACGTAGCAATCAGTTCTTCAGTGTTACTCTTGAACTTGCACAGCTTTACTCTGTCAGTGAGATTTGACTGCCTACGTCTAATATCTGCACCCAGCAGATATTACAAATTCAACTCATTTTGTCTCATACACAATCTAATCAGCTTGTGATAAAGCTCGAGCATGTAAGTTATGAATCTCGTTTTAATCAGATTTCTTGTAATATCTGGGCATAAAGCCTGTTCTAATTTAGTCAAGGGAGGGTTCAAAATACACAGCTTTAGTGTGGTTGCAACTCATATGAGGTTAGCCAAACTGGAGGTAGTCTCTCTGCGAGCCTGGCGGTCCATGTGTCCTGAAACAGTGAAGACATTCAAAACCCGGTCTACCAACCTTCGTCCATGCCTTGTCCTCTCAAGCAGGAGAACCACAACGGAGTATATCCCAACTCCCACAACTGCAGCCCCCCCTCCAGCCAGCAAAACCACTCCAGAGATATACATGTCATTAAGGGCTTGTCCGGGCTTTGGCATATGGTTCGCCAGGGCCAAGCGAAGCAGAACCCCTCCACAGATCAACAGTGACAGTCCAGTAATCAAAACCACTAGCAGGTCAGATAAACCACCGCTCTTTAGCATGTCAATCCGCCGTCGACTTCTAACACAATTCATGTCCTGCACAGCTGAGCTGAGCAGTTGCTTGAGCAGCACCCCGAGGGCGAGCAGGCACAAGGCTGTACCTGCACCCAGCCGCCACTCACTCGAGACACTGGTGGTAGTGGAAAGAAGGCCGACGCCGCCCAGTCCGCAACCCAGGATTAGAAGCACGGCGACGCAGTAGCAGAGTAGAGACTTCCCAGGATCTCTGAACCACCACAGTTCCACTTGCTCCTCCAGGATACTGTGTTGAATCTGAGCAGGGTCTGCTGGTCCATTCAGGCCCAGATCAGGGCCTCTGGTTCCCCTCAAGGGGGGAACGTTGTCCAGCTCTGGCATCCTGTTGCCGCTCCCAGCCTGCTGAATAATGACGCCACCTCCAAAGAGAAAACAGAATCCACCTGATGACCTCAGTCCTTCTTTGATCCACCAATGGCTACCACAAGTCTGTCAGGACTAGCAGAAGAGTCCAGTTTGTGGGGATTTACTTAGCATGTAAGAGTTTGTCACAAATCTATGGAAAAAATAAATGCAATTCACTAAATGTCTTAAAACACTTGACTTAGATCAGTGTGTTGCAGTTTTATCCACCCTGGTTTGTGTAGAAAAGGTCCATAAGTCAGTTCAGGTCTCTTGCGTCTGTGTGATTGCAGAATCCTTATATCTCACACTGACTGGACACAGAGACGGATCTAAATAGTTCTTGCTGCATCGGTATTCAAAAAATCCAAACAGCCACAGAATGTCCAGTTTGGTTTTGCAGTGTGGCAGCAGTCACCTGGAAGATAAGACAGACATGTGTTCAGCAGTGCAGGTTTATCTGCTCATGGGTGTTGTCTCTGCAACTCGGTCACAGACGACTGTGATGACTTACCGGTACATAAATTCTGCTACTAATCAGACAAAAAGTCACAGCACAGAACTAGACGCAGGCCTGCTCCGTCATTCCTTCCCCCACCATAACACAAGGTCAGGGCACGGCTTAACCAGCTGGGTTCACTTGTGTCTTGCTGCTCTCAGGTACATCGAGTTAAACGGAGATTGGTTTGACTCAAGAACTAAAATGTGGACCCTTTTTGTTCTCGGCTTTTAAGGCTCTCTGAGCAAACGGTGCAGATTGAATGTCTGTTTGCTTTGTACACCTTGAAGGATCTGAGCTGAACAGGCTGAGGTAAAGAGTAACTTCACATAAAAATCCCTCTTCAAGCAAGAGCTACACTTGCTATGCACCAACAAGGTTTTTTCTAATCCCTTATTTTTTTGAAGGTGGGTTTGACCTAAGATGTAACAGACTGTGAACCAAAAGAGGTCAATGAAACATTATTATTCAGTTTGTTATGAAGTTGTTCTTTAAAACTAAATTCAAAACTTTGTGCAACAATAGTGGATAAAAATCAACCAAATTAAAGACACACACACATATCCTCACACACAGTTTCTCTGAACAAACCAAACTTGCTGTTTTGACGATGCAAAAAAAAACAAAAAAAAACTTGGTGTGCTGACGCCGGCAACCTTTGCTATCTCTCATTATCACTATGGTAATGAGTTGCCACTACAGAGGCGGCTGGATAAAAGAAGCATCAGCTGTCGATAGAATAAACAATTCCTATCCACGCAGTCGCACACAAAATCAAACAGCTAATGCACAAATGTAAATTTTCTTTCTTTTATCCTTCCAAACACACGCCCACACTCGCTCGCTCAATGAATCCTCCCAGCCCTTTGAGTCCAGTAAATTTTCTCTCTCTAGTGTGTGTGTGTGTGTGTGTGTGTGTGTGTGTGTGTGTCTACTCTGTGCTGTTACATGTTTTACCACATGTCAGGTGAACGCTCATCATAGGTGACTTATTGTTTTCAATTCCCCCTCCTCTTTTTCCTTTGGTCTTTACCTTACCTCAGCATATTTGATCTCTGCACGGTAGTTTGTAACCTCATCACATCCCCATAACGCAATCATGTAAACATATAGCATGCACACGCGCGTACGCACGCATACACACAAACAAACATCCTCAAGGTTACGGCTGTCGACAGCTTGTCTTTAAAAACCTGTCAGCGGCTTTATTTCTATCAAAGTCAGCAGTGCGCGGCACAAGCCCACGCGCCCCCAACACAAGCTGACAGCAGTTACAGCTTGTCCTCACCGGCCGTGGATTTTTGCTAACACAAACAATGCTCTGAGAAAAAAAAAAAAAAAAACGTCAGTCTGAGCAAGCATAACATGATCTTGCATTCAATCTTGAGAATTTTTTTTTAACCTTTACTGCACTTGAAGCTATTTAACAGAAACTAATTCCTGATGTATTTTTTTTATCGCCAGCTGTTTAGAAAAGACTTTTAAAAGCAAGATCACATTTCCCGTCGGCGCGGACAGGTACTGCCTTGTGCCGAGGCAGAGCGGCAACGCGGTGACACGAGGAGATATGAGGTGCATACGCAAGGTGTGAAATGAAGAGTGAGGTAATTAAAGCAGAGGAGGAGGGTGTTTATTGGCAACACGCTGTTCTGGAAGCTTCTCATCCTGTGTGTGATGGAGCATTGTGACAGTGCGTGTGCTTGTGTGTGCTTTTTTTTTTTGAACAGTTGTAAATGAGTAGTAAAAGGTGCAGGCGGAGAAGAACGTACCTGTTGGCATGTGTGTTTTTTTTCACCTATGATGTAGCTGTGCATGTAGCACACAGAGACACAGCGATGAAAGTCCATTTTTAGTGTGTGTGCATGTGTGTTTGTGCGCGTGTTTGTTGAGTCACTAATTAATCCCAGCTGGTTTGAGCTCACTGACAGGTAGGGCCACAGAAATAGCACAGAAATTGAGGCGCGTGTGTGTGTGTGTGTGTGAGAGAGTGTTTTTTTTTGGTGTCTGAGGTTGTGGCACCAAAGGTGTTAAGGTGACAACAACATTCCATGTGATGCTGCTGCACCATCCACAGCTTAGTTATTGAGGTTTTGAACCTTTTTTTTCCCCCCAAAACTATCTGTTTGATTGAGTCAGTAGCTGTTTAGGAGACATTATTTTCTGTTCCATTAAATAGCTCCTGCTAAGGTAAAGCAGGGAAACAACTGTGTGATAGAGCGAGAGGCAATGGCACGCAACAGAGATCATAAGATGAAATCGAACCTTTAACGACACGAGTATATCTCACTTCATGTTGTGTTTCTTACAGCCCGATACCCACAGACGTGCACACAGAGACAGAGCTGCCGGACTGTGTCTGCCTTTCCTCTTTTATCACTTATATGACCTCTAAACTCTTGTCATATCAGCCATGTCATATTGGCCTCATAAATATCTCTACAAAAGCACTGACTCACTGCTTCACTCTCCACTGGCCTTCTTTTAAGTTATAGAAAACAGGTACAGAGGCACAAACAATTTACACAACGCATGACTCAGTTTTACCAAGGACCACAGCGATCTCCTCGTCTGTAATTAAAGTCACTAAGGGCTCCGTTAGGCAGTGTGATTTTAGGCTGTCTGGGTTAAAAGATAAAAAAAAATTATAGAAGAAAGTAAGGCTGCATGAAACTACAAAATAAAGGTTGCATTATTTTGTTTGTCTGCAATATATATTGCGATATGAAAAAACCCAGCATTTTTAGCATATTACTGTATTTGAAAAGGATGAATCATTCCTGAATAATTTTGTCTGCATAGAAAATACAAAATATACGAAGGAACTGGAAATAGGAGTTTTTACTGACATTTTTGTAGTGCGACTGTTTTTCCATATGGTGTAACAAAGCTCATCCAAAATGCTTTTATTGTTTTGCTTAGGATGACTTTGCTCTCATCATGCAGAGCTTTGTGGTGCTGATTAAATTAGTTGTGTTGACTCTTGTGGTACCAATAATTGCAAAACACTGCTGTCAACATACCGGTTGTTGGTCAGTATCAACTGTTTTGTAGCTGAAATTTTAAAATTACAAGATGATAATCAGTTATTTTGATTGCCATTGAGATCACAATTACTTTTCACAATAATTCATTAACAAAAATGCCATCATTTAAAGACCAAAATAAGCAGAGCATTGGTTTTCACTTGCATAATGTGCTGCATTCCTGCTGATGTACAAATGTTTGCATCAAAATAAAACCAGCTGTGTACAGAGAAGCCTCTGGTCTCCACTCAGTTACTGCAGCATAACAGCTCAAACAAGTGTATGATTAGAAATTACTTTAAATAGCGCTTTACCCTCTTGAAACTGAGTAATTTTATCTACACAGACTGTTCTGAGCAATCAGCAGAGCATTTCACATGTCAGAACATGTTCCTTTATGGCAACCAAATCCTTATATTCAGTGTTTCTTTCCTGTTCCTTACTTATTTACCCATCTGAAGCCTGCATGTCAACCAAATCTACTAATAACGGGGTAAAAAAAAATCTAAGAACTAAGATCAGACTTCTCTTGAAGTTTAGTTTTTGAAAATGTGAACTGTGCTAATTTTCTTTTTGTATCAAGCAGCAAAAACTGGTTTATATCGTGCAGCCCTAAGAGACGCCTGAGTAGAATCTTGATTTGTCACTCTGAGAGTTTTCAAACCTGATACTCTCTGATACAGATGTGACCAAGAAGAGCCATCTCACACAGTCTGAAATCCCAAAAAAATTAACTCAATCGCTCGTTATCTAAAGACATCCTTAGCTGGGAATGAAACATTTCAGTGGTTTACACGGAAACCTTCAGTACATTATGTCTTACGATGAATCTTCACACCTTAGCTGTGAATTTTCACACTCCCACAATACCTGGCATATTCATAAAATATAGATCAGATGTACTACTGTATCTGGCTGTAAAAACAAACAGCGTTCCTGACAATCCCATTAATCCCTTCATTTAGATTGGCGATCCCGACTTGTGCTATGAACTATGAATCTAGCTGTTAACTTACTCATCAAAAATGGATGATTATATCAGCATATTTCACTGTCTGAGGTACCTCACAGAAGCTATAGAAAGCTGCACTTGTGATCATTATCACAATTTATTTGAAGACACAATGTCTGAAGAAAATCCTAAATGGCTTTCTTTTTAAGTGACAGGAATAATAAGTGTGTCGTGGACGCTCAGCCCTGCAGTAAAAACTGAGATGACTAAAGACAGGCTGACACTAACAGTCCAAACGTTCTCTGTTATGCTAATGCACCAAAAAGTAATGATGAAAAATCCCAAAGACGCTGTAATTGTAAACCTCGGACAGAGAGTATCATTCTCTGTCTCTTTCGCTGCGTCTGCCTGCTCTAAGTTTTCAGCCTGCAAGGTCACCAGAGGAGCTGTGCTTGAGAGTAAAAAACAGTATACTGCACTCCAATTACCTGGGAAGCTTTGGGAC